CCTTTGTACGAACAAAAGTAAGAGAAATTTAGGATAAGAATATGAACATGTTCTTTCATTATCTAGTAAAATTATTAAGAATATAGTTAAAGATTTGTGAATAAATCAGGTAAATTTTACTTAATTTGCTCAATTAAATCTTGCAACATATACTTGATCAAATTAAGTAAAATTTACCTGATTTATTCACAAATCTTTAACTATATTCTTAATAACTTTTACTAGATAATGAGTAAATATTACATACATTTGTAGCATTTAAATTTACTTAACAAATGTTAGTGCAAATTTGTTAGAGGATTTTTTAAAGTACATCTTACAAGTAATTTTTTAAGTGTGTTCACAGAACACTTAAAGGGGCAATATCATGTAAAATCAAATTTTTTGATATCATGTTATCATCTTAACTTTTTTATATCATGTTATACTCTCATAAAAAACATGACCAAAGCCTTGCTTTCATTTCATTCATGTATGTTTGAGAAATCCTGCAGCGTTTTTATGCAGCCATGCTGAGGAGCAAAATGACAGGTGGGGACCAGAAACGCCTTTTGGTACCAGAAACACCCCTGGGATGATAAATGAATTATAAAGCATTGATGACTCAGCATGTTCCCTAGTTTTTTAAATTGATGCTAAAGGTTTTAAATAAAGACCAATTTGTACAAATGTGCAGCTCTCATCAAGTGAAGATAAAATGGTGCAGTCCTGTTTGTAAGTACAAACAATTACTTTATAGGAAACAAAAACCACATAAAGGGGCTTTTAAATACTTTTACTTTCAAACAGCAGGCCTAATGATGCTCGTTTAACCTTAATTAAACAAATACATGTGTACTTGTTTATTTATAGCCTCATATAAACTCCCATGTTACCCCATGTCTCATTAAATCAACGAATCAATTAATTCTAAAAAATAAACAATAACTAAACAAATAAAACTCATACTCCCCAGGATTTGCTTTATCTTCACCAACGATCCTTGCAGTTAGTAATTTTAGAACATCTGATACAATTTGAATTTTAACAGGTCTCTGTAAAAATTTAAAGTGATTAGTTTTATATCAGTTCCTAAAAAGTTTATTTTCAGAGATTTCTACAAATTTTCATCTTTCTCCATACAAGGAAGGAGAGAAGACAAACGGAGTAAAACTAAACAGCATCCGGGGGAAAAGGTTGTTATGAGACACTATCTTTGAGTTTTTAGTCTAAAACAGACTCTGCAGACAGACTAAAACCACATGAAATAATTGTGATAAAAGAGAGAATTAAATAAAATCCTATAAGAATCTGCTCTGATTCATTTTATGATGCCCCTGAGTGTTTGTAGTATTTGATCTGTTGTGGACAGTGAAAATTGCATTGAAATCTCCTTAAATGGTTTCCTCCGCTGCAGATAGAAACACAGATGATGGTGGTTGCTGCAGCAGCTCTCGTGTTGCATCAGCGCATTGTTTGAATCCAAGTGTTCAGTCAAACTTTTCTACTTTTCTGTCGTTAAGCAGCTGAACGCTGCACTGTGCTGCTCGTTGACCAGATAGATTTTATTGAAAGACCCAGATGGTAATCAAACTTTTGGAGTTAGCCTAGTCCAAGATGGCCACCACAGCTAATCAACCTCACCAAACATGGAAGTAGCTAAAACAGCTCTGCAGGTTTAGAGCTAAAGTTTGGTTTAACAGAAGCTGAAATGATTCCTCATTACAATGTCTGAGCGCTAACTGATCACAAGATCTTTGTGTAACATTTTGTCTGGAAAACTGGTGGGTGACATGCATTCTTTCAGAGAATGCTGCTTTCCCTTTTTTAAAAGCTATTTTTAGGGAGCTGACTGTGTATGCTTCTTTATGTATTTTTTATAATGTAATAATACTAAAATATAAGTCCTAATGATAAAATTACCACAAACATATTTAAAATTACAGCAGTTTTTTGTACTGAGAGCAGTAATTTTACCCTTGTGGTGTTCATACTCACCTCCTCAACTGCCACCAGCTCTACAATGAAATTGCTTATTTCCACTTGTCTGGAACATATTCATGACCTACTTATTTATTATTGAGCACAGCAGCAATCATACAGTGAATGACATTCTTTAAAACAGACACAAAAGCAGAGAAACTGAAAAGGCTGCGTATGGCAGCCTTTTACTGGTGTTAAGAATAAACCCTCTAAATGAAAAAAATTAAGTAACAGAAAAGTTATTTTATGTGTCCCATCTAACGCATGGGCACATTCCTTTTTTATGTAAAACAGGACTTGTTTAAAGTTGTTGGAGTAAAGTTTATTGTCGTCCTCTGATCTACTCAACATGGACTGGCCTGCAGAGATGAACAGAACAAGCTGGGCTCGCTCTACTTTAAGCTTCTAGTTTAGACTTTTAGACTTTTGCAATTTTGTCCTCTGATTTCTATTTATTGCAAGCTATGTTTTCTGCCCAAACATACAGTTTGAACATACATTTGCAAAAGTTATGTTAAATAATTTGACATAACTTTTGCAAAAAGTTG